AAACCATAACCTACCTCCACCGAAGATTAGTGATCAAGCAAGCAAATTTTTTCTCCAAGCTTTGTTTCTCTTCGTTTCTCCTCTTTCTCGTTCGACTCTCTCTCTCTCTCTTTCTCTTGTTCTTTCTATTTTCTTTATTCAAAACCCTCTTCCTTTTACCCTAATTAACATATAATTAAGAATAAAAGATGGCAATAATGCCCCACTAATTAACTTAAGGTTACCTCTTTTAACCCCCAAGTAATTAGACTTATTAACATTAACTCACTAACTTTATAATTAAGGCAAGAATAGTCAAAAACGTCCCTTAAAACGTATCAAGAAATCCGACTCTGCCTGGGATTTGCGCAACCTGTGACGGGCCGTCGTGCCTGCGACGGTCCGTCCTGCAGGTCGTCGCAAGGTTCAGAGAGCCAATATTTCCACCAAGGGTCTGTGACGGTCCGTCCTATCATTCCGTCACAAAGTTCAGAGAGTCGTTCCCTGTACCAAATTCTCAAGAGTTGAAGTGTTTTGAAACGGTGGATCACGACGGTCCGTCGTGCCTATGACGGTCCGTCCTGCGTGTCCGTCACAGAGTTCAGAGAGTCAATTTCAGCACCCAAATTTCAGAATTTCTAAGTGTTTAGAAACGAGACCCTGCGACGGTCCGTCGTGCCCATGACGTTCCGTCGTGGGGTCCGTCGCTTCTGCCAGTTTTTCCAGAATTGAAGTCTGTTGCTCAAAACGACTAAACGGGTCGTTACAATTCCATCCTAATGGGCTTGCGTGAACAATTCCATATAACGGGCTCTTAATCTATAATGGGCTTGCTGAAAAAGATGCAAAAAAGGGAAAATTACAAAATGGGCAAAATTACGATCTATCTCTTAAAAGTTTATAATTACTAAAATTTCTCAAATGGATATATTAATGAAGGATCCGGATACATTAATAGCCAAAAAAATCAAAACACTGATACATTAAAAAGAGGGTCAGATACATGCGCTAATACATTAAAAAGAGGGTCAAATACATTAATAGAGGGTCGGATACATTAATGGAGGTTTCGAATTAATTAATGGCCGAAAAATCAAAGCGCTGATACATTAAAAAGAAGGTCGTTAATTCATTCGAACCCTCCATTAATGTATCCGATCCTCTATTAATATATTTGACCCTCTTTTTATTGTATTAGCGCATGTAACCGACCCTCTTTTTAATGTATCAGTGTTTTGATTTTTTTGGCTATAACTGTATCCGAACCCTCCATTAACGTATCCGTTTGAGGAAATTCTGTAATTATAAACTTTTAAGGGATAGATTGTAATTTTGCCTTATAAGTATGTCACTTCTGTAATTTTCCCCTTCGTGACATTTTTACTACTTGATCTTCAAATGCTATCAATAGACAATATTTCTCTATGTTTACTTTTTACTTGTGCACTATTCCAAAATAGTTAATATATCAAAATAAATATATATATATATATATATATATATATATATTACATTTTAGCCTTTATATTAATTACCTATTTCCCAACATTATTTTCAAGACTCAAAACTAAACATCAATTAACATGAATAATATGATAATATAGTCTTATCAATCGTCATTTTCTTAATAGGTGTGTCAAAGTGTGATAATATTTACAAGCTCTTTCTTGCATTCACATCCACATGAATAAAAGGAAACCAAATGATCATAGATATTTTTCAAGTGTGGACATATATCAACCATGAGAAATTTTAAGTGTATGTATACTCGAAACATTAATATTTAAGTTCAACCACAACCAAAGTCTACCACCTTTTGCTTTAATTAAAAAAAAAGTAGAGGTAGAGGTTTAAATACATGTTAGTTTAAATTTTCACTAGCATTAATTGATAGGATATAAGTACGTATATGTATAACATGATAACTACAGTATCACGAGAATATTAGTGTGACATTGATAGTTCAATAATATTGTATACGTATTATTTCTAGTGGAAGAAAAAAATGTAGGTAAAAAATAATACTAACTTGTATTGAATGGTCGAAATAAGCAAACTTGTGAGCATGTCAACCAAGTTGATCTTCTTCTTCTATTGGCTAATGATAGACTTTATAACTTTTTAGTTTACACAGTTACAAAAATATACTCTCCGAGTTGATTTTTTTTATTCTCGTAGATCATTCAATTGATAGTTATAATATCAGAAAGTCATTTTTTTTATTCGAATAGAATTGGAGTCAGTAAGTATATAGCTTATCGTTTATCGAAAACATGTATATAAAATCACAAGGAGTGAGAGTCATATGAGAGGGGGTCTCCTATATTATTGACTCTCTTGGCTTGTTCGTAGATTTCCTTCTTTTACAATATGACTCTCCTAAGTAAAAAAATTATTTTCGTCCATGTATATGAAACATACACTTACAACTCATTAAAAAAAATTATATTTTCATAAATTTTTAAATAATAAAATCGTAGAATTCATTTTTACTTGTTAACTAAAAACGAGATAACAAAATAGAGTATCTAGTAAACATGGGGTAAATTATGAATATACATGCATTTAAAACTTTTAATACACATCGGAATGAGGACTAGTGTTAATTATGAACTAAATCGATAACATACCAAGTAAAACTTTATAAATGAGATCTGTACGTTTCGTTGATTAAAATAATAAAAATTTACTCGTATGAAAATTTAAACTCAATGAAAAATCTAGCACATTCAAGACTATCCATACAAAAATAGAAATAAAAATTGACATGCAAGTTCCCATGGTCCACAACTTTTTAAGTTTGCAGCTTCCAACTTGAAAACAACAATAGTAGCCAACAACTATAAATACCAACCTATTATCTTCATCATTTTACATCCTTACCATACATTATACATCTCAAGTCATTTGCATTTCTTAACAACACATAATTTTTCACAATATTCATCTCAAAATGGCACCTCATGGAGAGACTAACGTTCGAAACCTTAGCAAACCACCTCGTCTCTCTAACGACGGCCTAAAAAGGACGATGTCTGAAATTACATACGAGTGGATGAAGAATGATGCAATTATCGATGAAAACCTCCCTCCAGTACTGTCTGAGGTAGAAAGCGCGAAATGTGAGTGTTGTGGCATGAGTGATGACTACACATCTGAATATATCGATCAAATTCGAAAAAGATATTTAGGCAAGTGGATATGTGGGCTTTGTGCTGATGCAGTAAAAGAAGAGGCCCAAAAGAATGGAGGAAAAAATGAAGAAGCATTAACTACTCATATGAGTGCTTGTAGCAAATTTAACAAATTTGGTAGGGCTTATCCAGTACTTAATCAAGCTGAGGCAATGAGACAAATGTTGAAGAAAAATACAAAGGGAGTTATGAGGGCAAAATCAATTAGTCCAAGGGAAAGAATTATGCAAAAGAAGAGTGGTGGACTTGCTAGAACTAATAGTTGCATCCCTGCCATTACTAAAGAAATGAGTGACCTTAATATAGTAACCTGATCGAGCATCCTTGGGTTGTACCTTCTGCAATAACGAATGTACTATATAGACCTCTTACTTTTCTGTTTATGGCTGCTAAACTCCTTCTACCCTTGAAAAGGATTTTGAAGTTTGTATTAGTTTTTAACCTTTTTCTTGATCAATGTGTTTCATATATCTCCAATGTGAAAAAAATATGATGATTTGAAGAAGCACGGGATTAAAAAATACATAGCATAAAGGTACTGAGTAGCATAAGTTTTAACAATAAACAAGTTTTCAACACACACAACTAGTTCAAAATGTTGATTCTGAAAGGAAAATATTTAAGGGTTCTTAGGTATTAGTGTACTGATCCCTTTAAAACAGATCTAAAGAACAGTAACTTAGACAAATGACCAGTTGACAAACATGAAACAGATGCAATGAGCAGTATCTTCTTCATTCATAACTTTCCATGCTACTGCTCTCTCATAAGATATAGGTCTGCTCATGCTTGACAAGCAAATTCCCCCTTGTAGACATGCAAAACCCTGTCAATCAGTAAAGTACAATTAGAAACTGCAGTGGTCATGATCATCTGTCTTCAAGCAAATCTAATTATCACTATTTATTTTAAAAGGGCATGCAACTCGGTACAATAAGATTTGGGAAACCCTTACTTGCTACATTCAATACTTTCGATAGAAAAGGAGTACCAACCTGTTGCATTATCTGGGGGAACTCAGTGCAGAGGTTCTTCTTTCCATGATCATCAAATATTTTCTCCAAGGTAATATCTTGAAGTGCAACCAAGGTTGTCTCGAGCATGTCAAGACCAGCCTGATTTGCAAATGTGAAAACTGGCAAAGCCTGCAGAAATATTGAACTCACAATTTCATGTACTCGAATAACTAAAAAGTCTACTGCAATTAACAAGCAAAAGAATATCAACAGAGGATGTGGGAACAAACCTTAGCGGAGCAGCAGATAATAGCATCTGAGTGATGCCATAGGCTTTTGAGGATTGATTCACTTCCTTGATCAGTATTCAATTTGAGAAGCTCCACGCCCAAAAAGCACCTTCAGAGAAAAAAAAATTAACCATTACAAATATTGATGTTAAATATTCAACTCAGAACTTGATTACATGCAGACAAACATCTGTTCATTTCCCTCCTAAACGTCCCATAGAAAATATTGCTTACGAAAAAAAGGGGGATTGAACAATTTCTAAATCAGAGGAAGGTCAATCATTTGTTTTGATGAACCAACTTCTGAAAAATTACACCCGTGATAATCTAACCATTATACATTTAAATAAACTTACGTTCCAAGAAAAGCACAGCAGTTGACTGAGTGAAAAACAGAAAAAAACTACTTAGTGTGCTCCTATGTTAGGCACACATGCAAGAATATACCACATACCTGTAACTTTGGCAGATCCAACGAGCTAATGTATGTGCTTCAGGAGTCCCCAATGGCAAACGAAGACCTCCATGAGAACCCAAATGAGATGGTGAAAGTGCTAATGCAACTCTTTGAACAGATGAAATAATGCTTCGGACATACTGTCGAGCCATTGAAGCAACACTCTCTTGCATGTGGCTTTCAAAAGCAAATTGAAAAGCAATTGTCATGACAGATCTTGATGAGCCACCACTAGTGTGAAGATCATTGGCTGCTTTGTTTTCCGCTGGGCCAGTCTCAAGAGCAGAAGTAAGATCAAGGGTACGATTTGGACTGGACGCTTCCTGCACAAACGAAGCATATTGGTAAAAACATTTGAGGATAATAAACCAAATGAACAAATATCTAAAAGAATAAGCACTAATAGGTGGATACAAACCCTAACCTTTCCAGACTCGAGTGAAATAATGCGAAACCCAGACGGAAGCAATGGTGCATCATCAGCAAAAGAGGCATCAATAGGAGCAAACACGAGTTCGGCACAAGTTCCAACAGCATTTTCATCCATTCCACTGCATAGCTGCATAATTTTCCTCAGATTAGAAATTTATTCAATTCAAAGAAAGATATTGTAAAAGTTTCACAAGTGAGGGGTTGCGCAAGACATTGAGAATGGCCAAGGTGACAAGAGTGAGTTGCTCTGATGTAGCACCCCTCGCTTCCAAGCTTAAGGTTGCGAGTTTGAGCCACCAAGAGAGCAAAAAGGTGAAAACTTCTGGGGGAGGGGTAAAACAAAAGAGAGAATGGCCAAGCTTAAATTTGGACAGCAAAAGCTCTCAACTTACACATGTGCAGAGATAAAACTTACTTGCAATAGAAACATATCTCGTGGCATTATCGCGTCCTCAGGAGAATGACCTTCCAACTTAATGACCTCCAGCAACTATAAGCAAAAAAGAGCACATTATCAGCAAATAGGCTGAGAAACCACACAAAAAAAAATTATTCAAACAAGTCCAACTGGAACAGTTCAAAAAAACTAGGAATGCCAACAGTGCAGATTAAAAAGAACTACTAAGCTTGCCTCTTCATGCTCAACAGTGTGAGCGAGTGGAAGTATCACTTGACCCCCGAAGTTACCAACTCGAGCCCCAGGTAAGCTGCAGGGACCAACTTTAATGGCTGCAGCAGCATAAGCATCTATATTGTTGTCTGCCCATTCAGATCGATGTTCACGTAGGAACCTGAGAAGAATAGCCGGAGGCACATTCTGCACAACAAAAACAAGACAACTGTGTTAAAATGAAAAAAGCAACATGGACGGCAGCCACCCCTCCTCCAATTATAACACAAACAGGAAACATTTACTTATCCACTTAAACAAGTAAATCAGCAACTAAATTTTATAGTTTCAGCATCAACATATTGAATAAGCAGACCTGTAGAAGCATTGATGCTTTTGCACACATAACCGCGTTGCTCATAGGTGAAAATCCATTCGCAAAAGGAAGGTTTAAGCCCATCAACTTGTCAGGAGAAGAGTTCACAAGGATGGTAACATCATCCATTCCATCACTATCCAGCATTGACCAGCCCTCATCAGCTATACCATTAAGAGCCTCATTGAAGCCTCTGCCAAAATAATTTTAAGTTTGAGTGACAGAAAGAGTAGAGAACATTGAAAACGAATCCATCAAAAAGTAGGTCATTCAAACCTGCTCAGCCTCTGGCTTAATGCACGTAGAGCTGCGGGTCGTCTTCCCCAGTTAGTAACATTAGTCTGTGAAACCTCCTGTGCAATCTGCCGGAGGTAGCGTAGTGCCTGCAAGGAGGATGTATAAAGTCACCAGAATGCCAACTAACCTTGCAGTATAGAATCAATTCGAGTAAATGTTCTTACAGCCACTGTCGTCTTCTGAGCTAGCACTGCTGATGACTCATAAAGTGGGCGTAAGACTTCAGGCACACTCCATGCCTAACAATCATAATAGTGTCAAGTAAACAACAGCATAACTAGGCAGTATGAAGAACAGGAAATATGGACAATAGCTTTACCTCTAAATTCATATGATCAACAATGTGGATAATTGAACCACCCCCCTCACAAGGTCTAATCAGATATCCACTAGGTAGGATTTCTGCTCTCACAAAATTCTGAACAGGTGGCATACTTGGACCATTTTGAGTATTTCCAAGTGACCTTTCACACACCTGGGTGTTATAAAAAATTTGACATGTTAGTTCATGAAGCATGTGAATGGACAAACATATAGTGTGTGACCTGGCAGATACATAATTTTATATTCGAAAAAGAGTAGGCATAATGAAACCATACCACGAGACTGCCATCATCCATAACAGTTGTATAACGTAAGAGCCAGAAATCACGGGCAGGTGCCAACGTTGTTGGTGCATAAAGCTAAAAAACAAAAAAGTTTAAAGTTCATCAAGAAGGTATAAAAGGACTGAATGCACAAGCACGAGAAGCAACAGTACAGTAACCTACCTGCATGTAAAGGAGTTCAATGGTTCCACCATTGGCAGTAGGCAGCACATTGAGAACTTCAACAACCCGGCAGTCACGATACCAAGAAGGTCGATCCTTAAGGATTTCGGAGACCTAGAGGGATCTCAGACAATTAATTTCATATCACAGTGCCAGAAACAGAAATTTTAAAACAGATAATTAGCTTACCCTCGTTGGCTCGAGACCAACCAGGCCACAAGCTCTTGCTGCCACGCCAGTGCAACCATGAGAAATAGCAATGATTCCAATGGAATCCGGACCAGGCTATGCATTTCAAGAGAGAGATGATTAGAAAGAGTTGAACCAGTACTGAGTATCTGTAACAGAAATAATATAGCTACAGAAAAAGGAGACTGGAAAATGTCTAGCAATATATGAACGCCCTCATGAGAAGTGAAGTACTGTACCACCAATTTGCCATCACAACTCAAACAAAGCCTGAATGATGACAACTTTTATCATAAATATGAGCCTCTGAAAGAACACTGATGCACTATATAGAAATCCCAAAACTGTTGTAATGCAATTTTGCAATATTTTTATACGATAATTATAACTGACAACTTCAAAAGAGGCCAACGGCACGTATACTTTCTTTCGTGGACCTACTAAATCAGGCTATAAGATAAGATACAGTTTTATACTAATTGATGGACTAGTAAGAAGAGCTTCCATGGGACTAAAATAAAATATAGTATTTATATCTTTGGTTGATATAGTTGACTAAAGGAATTGTCTGCTGTTTGGTTATTTATTGACATCATTAATGAAGAAAGTTGAAGCAGCCAACATGCATTCGCTTTAACACTCAGTAGATTGCTAATACAGCTACATAGTATAGACGTGAATGTATTTGCTAGTTATCTCTTCAATTACATATGAGTTCATTAGATTAGTATTTAACTAATACAAGAATGCCAAGACAGAATTTAATAATGAACATTTGTCATAGCATATCTGATTAATTGTGCTAAAAGATAAATAAATCAATCAATAAACTTACCTCTATCTCTAAGGAATGTCTGTAAACCATATGAATCTCTGTACACAAATTCCAGACATTTGGACTCGTAATTGGTCAAATACGAAATAAATTGTCTTTTTG